TCCTCCATGGCCGCCACCATGTCCTCTAATCCAGAAGGCCGGTGCCTGGAGATGCTCCAACAGACGATCGAGCGTTGGGCAGCGAGTCTCCAACGCTCAGAGCGTGCACACGAAGAAGCCAAGGCTGCTCTCCATGCTTTGGGCGTCCGTTTCCAGCGCAGCAGGAGCCCACGCTATCGTCGCGACAGTGATGCCTAGCTCCTTTTCATATGCACCCCCACAAGGTCTTTTGAAGGGCCCTCACCTCGGCTCCAGCCGCTCAGGGGCACGCTGTCTCACAGCACCTTGGCGGCCGAAGGCGACGATTTTTAGCCCAGGCTCCCCACGGGAGTCGGTCTCGAGCTCTACTACTGCCTCCGCTCTGTGGCCAAAATTGTTGCTTTGCAGAGCTTGCGTCTGCAGTCTGTCCGCCACCTCTCGTCAGCCTACCTATGTGCAAGTGAGCCGAGTAGGCTGCATCACATGGCCTCTGCCACCTACCCGCCGCCCAGCCTCCCGTCTATGCTTCGGTCTTCGTCTCAGATGTGCCCGCCTGCGTTCCACATGTGGCCGCAGGTTCCGCGGGTCCCGCAAATCTCGCGCCCGACTTCGGCACCCCTGCAGGCGCAGCTGCATGTCGCTTTTGAGGATATGGCTCTACCGCCTGAACAACATCCGCGATGTTCACTGGCATCTATACGCGCATAACCTAGCGACTATCATGCGCTTTCTTGAACCCTCAGAACACCATTCCCTCCCTTTGTGTACTGCTGCGCCCGGTCCCAAGTCCGGGCGGGACGTTGTATATCGGGTGCCTCCTCGTGGTCTTCGCCTTTACACCCTCTTGGCACTACCCCACCTTTGCGCCACTATGCAAGTCCCTGAGCCGAGGGTTGGAGGCACTGGCAGTCGCCATCCTCCTGAAGCCGTTCAAGATGAACGCTCTTTTCTCATCCCTCAGGCAAAGCCGTGCGACTCCTTTGTCGCTTCTCTCCCTCGACTCTCTCGCTTCTCTTTTGCCTCCTCCATTCGGAAACGTGCTCTCCAAAGGGCCCTCTCGAGGGCAGACCGCTGCGGTAGTGCAATGTATCGTGGCCAACGTATCGATAGTGACGGCTCCTTTCTCACGAGGCCGGCTCGTGCCGTGCGGTCTCAGTCCGGCCCCAGGCCGCGTGAGCCGCCACGTTTTCATTTCTTGAGTTGGAATGCTGGTGGGCTCTCTAGTGACCGTTATCAGCAGATTGCTCTTTGGCTACAAACCGAAGGGCAGCATCTGGCTCTTGCTGCTATCCAGGAAACGCACTGGGCGTCAGATCTGACCTTCAAAATGGAAGGCTGGCAAGCTCTTGCCTCCCCATGCAAGGATCGTGTCTCTGGCATTCTGGTGCTTGTCAACCTTCGACTTTTCCAGCAGGACCGTATCCAGTTCACTTCCATCATCGATGGCAGGCTGGTTCACCTGCGCGTGGAAGGGGACCCTTCCCTTGATGTCGTCATTGCTTATCAGCACCTCTACTCTAGCACAAAGGCACTCCCGGGTGCCGCTGGTCTGGAACAGGCTTTGGTCAAGCGATCCATACTGTGGACCAAGCTACATCACACACTGGCACGGTTCCCAGGTCGGAATTCGGTATTAGTGCTAGGAGACATGAACACTGACCTTTTACCTGATTTGCCGTTCGTTGGGCAGGGAGTGCGCACTCGTCTCGGGCGCCCTCCCCCAGATCAACAGGAGTTTCAGCAGCTGACCCGTACGTTTTCGCTACAGGCCCTCAACACCTTCGGACGCGCGGGCTCTCATGCACAAACCTTCCTGCCTGCTGTAGGCAACAGAGGCACGCAAATCGATTTTGCGCTTACGCGTCGCATTGCCGCTGACGGCATTGCTAGGCGCACTGGTCCGACCTGGCTTCCCTTTGTCGAACCCAGTGGGCTTCGGCACCTGCCTGTGCTGGGCTCCATCCTCAGGCCTGCCCTGCCCAAAAGAGCCCGGAAACCTTGTGCTCCCTCTGTGACCCTTGCCTCCATCAGGACGGCTTTGCGCATTGATCCATCCCTTGCCGCTCGCTTCCAGAATCAGGCTCGACTCCTGCTAGCCAGAGCAGGACCGGATGATATCTCGGCCTGCCTCTTGCAGGCCTGGACGCTCACGGCACCGTCCCCTTCTCCGACAACTCAGAATCACAGCCCAAAGACCCAGTTGATTCTCCACCTCTGGCGGCTACGCCGCGAACGTCGCGACTTCATGAGACAGCAGGATCTTTCCACTGCTCAGGTCTGGCCCAAGGCTGCTGAGCTGACGGAGGCTACCAAGGCCCTCAAGTCGCTGTGTGCTCAAAACAGGCAGCTCAAGATTCAACAGATTCTGCATGAGGCGGAGCAGGCTGCCCAGAAGGGTCTCACGGCCGTCTACCAGGTGGTCAAGCGCCTTGCCCCCAAGACCGCTCGCAAACCCATCCTGTTCCGTGACAATCAGGGCAATCCTCTTACGACGCTCCAGGAAGCCCAAGCTCTGCAAGACTATTTTCGTGGTCTTTATCGCTCATCCTCACCCGAGTCCCTTCCTCCTGGTCAGACTTTCCCACCCTTTGAACTTGACGAGCTCACCACTGCCATTGCCCAGCTGCCCACTGGCAAAGCCCTGCCCTCATGGCTGGCGCCGGCTCCACTTTGGGCACTCGCTGCCACTGAGGTCGCCACCACGATTCACCCGGTGCTCTCGCAGTGGCTGGCAAACATGTCGGCGCCCATGCCGGGGCGATGGCCTCAATCCTCACTGTGTCTCCTCGCCAAGCCGACGAAGCCTCCGAAGTGCCCTGAGAATCTCAGGCCCATCGCTCTCCTGCACCCGGTGTCGAAATGCTTGGCGAAAATGGCGGCGGAACTGCTGCGCCCTACCGTACAGCATCTCGCCACTTGTCTTCCCCAGTTTGCTTACATTGGGGGTCGCTCTGTGGAAGACTCCATAGAACGCGCATGCTCCCATTGCGCGGCGGTACGCGCTGTACTCGAAGCGCAGAAGTATAGCATTCACCGTCGTCGTCAGGGGCACACTGTCGGGAAGTGCAAAGGGGGAATCACACTTTCTCTAGATCTCTCTCGTGCGTTTGATTGCTTGCCACGAGACGTCTTGCATAGAGCACTCACCTGGGCGGCTGTGGAACCTGCTTTGATTGATCTCATCCTTCACATCCACTACCAAGCCACACTCAACATTACGCATAAGTCACACACTGTTGAAGTTGAGCTTCACTCAGGTGTGCGCCAAGGGTGCAGCTTGTCTCCTGCCTTGTGGAGCATCTTCATCTGTTATACTCTCCACCTCCTGAGCGATAGGATACCGCTCTCCTGTCTGACGGCCTTCTCTGATGATATCCTTGCACAATGGCAGGTTCATCAGCCGGAAAACATCCTTTGCATTTTGAAGGATATCGCTTTCATTATTGACACCCTTACCTCTCTCGGTATGTCAGTGAGTGACTCCAAAACAGTCATCCTGGACGGTCTCCGTGGCCCTGCCAAATCCAGGCTACTGCGCCCGTATCTGCAGCGCTCCAAAGACAAAGGCCCCTGTCTACGTGTGCCCTGTCTGGCAGGCCCGCTGGATTTACCCTTTCGCAAACAGCATCCCTACCTGGGCATTGTTCTCAGCTATGATTGCTTTGAGAAGTTGTCTCTGCAGGCCAGAATCAAACAGAGTTGGGCCAATTTCAGCCGCCTCTTCTCACTTTTGAGATCCAAGCATATCGTGCCCCAGCAGCGCCTGCAGCTGTGGACGGCCTGTGTCTTCTCTACTCTCAGGTACGGCCTCACGAGCACTGGTCTTCCCCCTCGGGGACCTGATATTATCCGGCAGGTTGTGGCCAAGCAGATCCGTCTTGTCCTCAAGTCTCCAAGCTGGATCACTCACGAAAAGACGGCCGCGCTCTATGCTAGATTTCACTTTCTGGACCCTGTTGATCAGATGGCTGCCCAAATGCAGTCTAGACATAGCCGGCCTTCTCTCAGTACTGAGGCCTTTGACACTCCAGAACGCCAACGTTGGCGCTCTGCCCTCCCGGCCTCCTTTGCGCCCGCCCCTCGTACTGATCGGCTGTCGCCTACCCAGTCACCGGAGGGGATGTCTCGTTGTGGCCTCGTCGACGTATCGGGTGTCATTGCGCGCACCTACACCTGCCCACACTGCCCGCAGACCTTTCCCACCTTAATTGCCCTTCGCACCCACTGCACCAAATCCCATGGGAAGCTTGCCCCGGATATTCCCTCTCCGGTTGACCCAGAGCCCCCTTCTGCCTCGATTTTACACACTACATCCGTTCGCCGGGAAGCTGCCGCTCCCCCCGCGGCTGCTGTTGTGTCTACCCCTTCTCCTGCTATCCCGCCCTCGCAGAAGGAGCTTCGTGCCAGGTTCATGCAGTTCGCTAAGGATGGCATGCCCCACTGTCTTCTCTGTGATCGCCAGTTTGCTGCATGGCCGCCTTTTCTGAACCATCACTACACCAACTCCTGCCCTGCTCAGGCTCATGATGGATCCCTCGTGAAGGACCCTGCAGCCCCTGCGGCCTCCTCCTCAGTCCTTGTTGCTGAATCAGTCCCTGATGCGACGCCTCAAACCTCCGACCTGGTCCCGCCAGTTGGGGTGGACACTCCGCCTCCCGTTGAGGTGCCCTCTCATCAGTTGCCGCTCCTTCAAAGATCTGACATCCGAACACTGGCCTGTCAGGAGGATTGGCAACCTCTGGCACACTACCTCCGCTCCCTGCACTCTGCTCATGGGCTGCGGCACTGCCCTGTTTGTCATCAATGGTTCACTCGCACACAGGACATTTTTCGGCATCTGAGGAGGCAGCATCCGCTCCCGGCCCTACAAGAGTCAATGAGAGCTGATTGGCTTACAGCAAGGACGGCTGCCGCCCGCTCCCCTTGTAGCTGGTGCAGACTCGCTGTGACGTTTAAGACTCAGCACGCTGTCGCCTGCCCTGTTCTACAACAAACCATCACTTTGCGCATCCTCATTCGCCATGAGCTTGGCCTCCTCTCTTGCCCTGGGCAGCGGCCTCTCCCTGCAGGAGACACAACAACGGGAGGCTCAGGCCGAGCTGTTGCTCCTCCAATGCTGGGGGGAGGACAAGAAGGCGATGGTTCAGGACACGGCCAACAAGCGTTCGGAGATGGACCAAACGGAGGAGCCAGAGAGGGAGCGCGACGCGAAGTACTCCAGACCGGACTCCAAGGGTGGCTACGGCAGGGGCGGGAGAGGCAAGGGCAATCAGCCAAAGGCCAATGGCCCTCGCAGACAGCCCTTCCGCCGCTCGGCGGAGACAGAGGCCGGGGCGCCGGAGGGCATGATGTGGCTTCTGGGCAAGCTCCTTCTTCGGCACGAGGATCAAATGGGCATCGACAAGACCCAAAACAGCTTTGTCATGTTCTTCAAGCGAGAGAGTGCTCTCTCCCTGATCCCTCTCTTCGTGCAGAAGTCTCAGCACTGGAATGCCCTCAAGGAGCAGAAGCAGGAAAAGATGGACGAGATTGCTCTCCCTCTCAGAACCTTCCTGTTTCATACCCTGTTGGAGGCTCTGGTGAAGCGCATCAAGGATACCGTGCAGAACGACGAGCAGCTGAAGACGGCCACCACCCTCCAGGTGTTCCTTCCACGGGACGGCGACGCGGAGCTACAGGTGCCTTTTCTAAGCTACAACCAGGAGACCAAGACTCTGGCGCCTCGGCAGGATCTGCAGCCCCTTCCGGTCTCAACGATGCTCGAGAAACTGCAGGTCTTACAGAAGCAGTGCCTTTGTCCCCTGGCCATCATGCGCTTCCACTCCACCCAACGGCTCAGCGGGCCTCTCCAGGGCCCCACCGTGCCCTTCCTGCTTCAGGTGGGTCACAGATCGCCGGAAGCAGCCGAGCTATATCTGAGCCTCCGCTCGCTGGCCAATTCAGCGATTTGGCAGTTGGTGGGAGGGTCCCTGCGCCCGGAGAAAATGGGTCGCTCCGCGCTGGCGACAGAACTTGCTCGCCGTCTGCAAGGGCCCTTCACTCAGAGTGCCTGTTCTCCCTCTCACCCCAACTGCTGCGTATACGCAATGCCTCCAACCACTGCTATGCTAACTCGATGCTGTGTTGTCTCCACTGGGCCAATCAGTTGCTCTGCTCAGCACCGGCTCATCCTCAGGTGATCTGGTCCGCGGCCATGCATTCAGTCATGCGGAGAATGACTACACAGGCGCCTGTCCCTGATCTCTGGTCTCTTCTCCAATGGGCCATCTTGCATTCCGGGTGGGCCCGGCCACACTCCCAACATGATGTTGCGGAATATCTTACCTTCTGTCGCAGGTTCGTCATTCCGGACCTGCTCTTGGGCAGGTGGCAGAACAGGCTTCTTCTTACCGACTGCAACCCTCTTCGCTGCCAGGTGCGTGACTGTGGGGAAGCATGGCCTATGCTCCTTGCAACGCCACCCTCTCAGTGCGATACAGGCCCTAGTGGCAGAGTTACCATCCAACGGCTTATTCATGCATGGAAGGTCCAAGCTGCGGTTGGAGTCACTGCCCTCGAACGTGAGCCGAGCCTTTTAGTTTTGCAGGTCAATAGGTTCAGCCCTGATGCTATCGGTGCAAAGGATGCAACGAGTGTGCTGCCCGATCCTCGCATCTTGCTACCCTGCTTTCAGCATCGACCCACTCCGCATAATTCCGCCCTTCTTGTGAGACACTGCGAATATCAGCTGATTGCAATCATTATGCACGAGGGTCCCGATGCAGCATCCGGTCATTACCGTGCGCTCCTTTGCACTTACCCTCCTGAATCGGAGCCCACTTTCTGGCTATGCGACGATTCAAAAGAGCCGACCACTCTCACCGAGTTGCCGCTACCAGCATTGACCACGGGCTATCTCTACTTCTACTGCCGCACTCAGCAGTCTCAGCAGTCCTAGCATGCTCGGAACGTTATGGGCCATTCGTGGCAGGTCCCGATCATCGCTACGGCTGCTAGCACGTTTCTCACCGACGTGTGCAAATGCACATGGCTCACAGCAGCCGGGGTGGCTCCCTGTCATAACAGCCTCGCCAAGCGGACTTCCTCTGCAGCGTATGAAAGAAAGATATGTACAGATATAATATACACATACACATGTGTAAGGAGACTACTAAGAAGCTGACATGAAACTGCAAGCCGTGTATGTGGTCAGCCAATCCAAGAGGTGCCGCGCAGGCGACCTTCCACTGCCGGTGTAAGTCCTGGGTGGACCATAGAAAGGCCTGTCGGTGCCGTTGTCAACCAATGTTGCTTGTGGCACGTGCTGGCTCAGCCTTGAGAGCACCGAAGCAACTCCGAAAGCAGGCTGCGCACGCTGAGCGAAGAGGACCTGTCAGCTCGAAATGTGCTTTCCCTGAGAGGAGTAGTTGATCGCTTTGCATTCCGACCGTACATACGAGCAGACAGTCAGCAGAAGCAGGATTCTTTCGAAGTTGCAACAGTCTTCTGGCTTCCTTTCTTTTGTCGGTCCGAACTCCGGCCTAGAAGTCGGCTCGCTTCGTAAGCAAACACACTTCATCTTACATTCTCTTGAGAGTTTACGGGGATCTTCGATCTAGCCGGCTGAGTCTTAGCTATGTACACTCAGCGATTGCACCGAAACACAGGTGTACATCGGTGTACATAGAAGTCAGGAGCCATTTAGACGGACACCCTGCGCCGCTAGCATAGATCAGCACCTCATTCCTGACAATACTTGGAGCCTGCCCCACTTGAAAACCCAGCCTTGAGACGGCTAGAGATTCTGAACTTCAGCAGCTCTGGGGTCAAACGCTTTGCCTATTGATGCCCTTTCAAGCTTCTCAAGTGGTTGCTGGGAGCAGGAGACGCCGCTGCAGGTCCTTCGTTCGCACGGAGTGGCTGTGGTTTCTGGGGCCTTCGAGGCTAGTGGGCCATGCTTTGTGGAAGGCTGCAAGGGATAACTCCGGGGCCGTGCCTTAAAACCTGCACAGGACATGCTCTGGATTTCGCTGTAGATGGAGCTGTGAGAACTTGAGTTGTGAAGCAAATGGGCATGTGAAAGGGTGAAGAAACATGCGCGCACGGTTGATGTCTGTGCAGAGGTGGAGCAGTTGCGAGAGATCCAGATGAGTTTTTGCAGCTCCGTGCTCGGATCGTGGGATTCACAAACTCATGATTCGACTGTCCCGAGATGTCGACTGGTGCCCTGCGATTAGAGATTTGCGAAGTAGAGTGGGCTCCCTAGGTTTGCATGAAGGCTTTCGAGAAGACGAAGCCTGGCCGCGAAAGTTCTTTAAAGTTCGGTGTTGTTGTTTACGCATTCTGCGAATGTGCGAATGCTTGCCGTAGTGCGCGTTGGAAGATCGTTCCCGACTGAAGTCATGAGCTTTCGCCGAGCGCAGCCGTGCCAATCAGGTCTTGCGGTTTGGCCAGCTCCGTGGCGAGCGGGCCGCGACGCACCTGCCGTATCAGGTATGTCCTGGGACCCACAAATACCAAGTCCTCGCGAGACGGTGAGAAAGCCGCATACTGACTTCGACATGCCAGGAACCCTTCAGCAATTTGCAGCTTCTGGGGACAGACTACGCTTTGCGGGACACCCTGGCAGGCTACCTGGGAGAGGAGTGCGAGCCGCACGGCTACGCACAAGCAAAGCAGCCAGTAATCAGGTGAGCCTCACACACATTCGTAAACATTTTCCGGACGTGCGACAGTAATCCTGAATGTTTCCTCTGGCTTACACAAGTCCCTTTATGAATTATGAAGACTGCCCGTGCATCTGTGAGCATGAATTACCACGAACTTTTGCCTTTGCGGCCTTTCCCCGGTCTCCCAGCGGCCTCCGTTAGTCAAGTGAATGCATTACATGCTGTGTGAATCAGAGGCTGGAAAGTGCCATGATCATCACGGTGGACCCTGGCGCTCCTGCACAAAATGCGCACGTGGACACGCAGGATGAGGGCAGCGTGTCTGTGCACATACCAATGCACTCGCTTCACGACGGACACTTGGCCAAAACGTAAATTCAGAATTTAGGCTAAGCAGGCTTTGTTTGAAGATCGCTCTCACCTCTGCAGCTGTCGTGCTGGACATTGTTGGAACGACTCGATGCTGGTCTATGCATCTCTATGCATTAAAGCATCTGCTTGTTGAACCCGCTGCCTTTGCAACCGCAACTAGCCTGTCCTCCAGACTTGCAGGCTTTGCGCCGCTGGGTTTCTGCATGGGCTCGCATATAGATCCAAGTGCGGCTCGGCACTGCAGGGGCATGTTGGCTTCAGCATGTACTGAGTACTGTACACCAACAGTGGTTAGTAGTGGGTCACAATCCTTGCCGCTTGGCAAATTACGGCTTTGGCTCCGCAATTTCAGTATCGTACCACTTTCCTGGCTGTGTGTATCCGGTACAGTACCAGCGGCTCGAAGCATGACAATGCTAGGACAGGATGGGCTAGCTGCGCATTTGCTTTGACACCTCAGCAGTGATTTGGTCGACATCTTCCCAGGTCCTGTCCGCTCCTCCACGACTCAAGCTGCGGGGTGCTGAGCGCCGTCAGAAAGCTGAGGAGGCGCTTCATAGGCAGGTTGCGTGTTGCTACTAGTGACTGCTTGGGCATTGAGGAATCGTAGGGCGCGGAGGACGATGGATGGTGCATTGTTACAAAGTGTGACATACTGCGTGCAATCCACATTGGGCCGCCTTCGATTTCGAGTTGTCTTTCAATCCAGAGACATCGGCAGGCAAACGCGTGCCACAGCAAAGGAAGAGCACTTTCTGCAGTGGGGTCCCAGCGAGGCGGAGATGCTGCATGTTCTGAGCACGGCAGTTCTTCTTCTTATGTACATCTGCTTGTGCCGAGCCCTTCTTTGTTTGTGTGATGTGCTGGAAGGGCAAGGCCACGTGATTCGGCATTCCTGGGCAACATAAAGGCAGATTATGAACAAAAAAAGAGCAGCGCAGATCTGCGGCCTGCACTAGTCCGGCCAAGACATTCCGCGCCTGTGACGGAAAACATCCGAAAATCACGGCGGCCTTGCATAAAGGGTGGCAAGGGGTGCAGCGCGAAGGAAGCATGTCAACCGTCCACCTCAGTTACACACGTGCACGCCCACACCCATACCCAGAGTGGAACGGAACAAATGTCTGGCGGCATATCGGACAGAACAGCGATGGCACCTTCAGCCTGAGGGCCTCAGCCTGCATGCTTTTAAACTCAAGACTCAAGACCTCTTGCGTCGCAAAGTTTCTTGTGCCCAAGTAGCGGCAGGTGGCCTTGCTGCCAGCTGTCGATTTCCGAAGAGGACAGGGCTTTTCGTCAGATACTTTGGTGTCTTCAAACGGATGCGTGGATGGCAAGCCCGTCAGGAGCCATGCGCGTTCTGGTTCGCAACTTCCGCGATGATGCGGCCGAGGCATCTCGTCAAAACTTGCTGAGCTTAAGGCTTGCGCTCTTGTGAAGCTTTGTGCATAACCGATGGCCTCCTCCAATCTAATGGCAAAGGCTTTGGGCCTTCAACAAGGCGACGAGGCCAGGAATTTGGATGCAGAGGCAGAAATTGCGTAGACGGGCGGGCATGTCGTCAAAGTGCCAGTTTTTCTTGAAAAGTGCGGGTTGCCGTAATCTCAGCTTCGGCCCGGTGCCGGCAGCCAGAATCGGCAGCAGGGCAGCAGGGGTATCCTGGTATCCTTCTGCAGAGCAGGGGGGAGCGGGCCGAAACGATTTGGCGCCCCTTAGAGGAGGTCGAGGCCCAGGCAGAATGAAGCACTCAGGACGAAGAAGTTCAGAATGACGATGTGAGCGTTCGTTTTCCATTGGTGGAACTATGGTCACTTCACGATGTGGTTCAATCTCCACATGCACTATCATGCACTGCAAGTGGCAAGAGGTGACTCACGTGAACGATCTGGACTTCGTGACGTGGCTTGAGGCCCTGTGCTGTGTGTGCATAGCGATGAAATTTGATGAGTATGCACTGAATTGATTTGAATGACCATTTGTAACTGGACAGGTCAAAGACCATGTGCCTGAACTCAGGGACAACATAGTGGCCAGGGTGCTCAGACCCGTCACAGAGCCCAATGCTGCAGAAGCTCTCGAGGAGGACCGGCTGCTGTACAAGTGTCGCCTTCGCGTCGGTACCGCAGGTCGTCCGAATCTAGATATTGTGTTCGGAGCAATCGAGCTGCTGGCAGGGGTCAGTATAAGTCAGTACGCCTCAGTACGCCGCAGCCGAGCACAGGAGCTGCCAGCTCTCTCTGCAGCTCCTGCAGATTCCAGATGCTTGGCAGAAGTCGAAGTTCATATGAAGCTTGAAGTTGATGCGACATGTTCTGAGCCGGCCAGATCGGCCCTTGAAGGCCAGTCGCAAGCACCTTCAAGTGTCTTTAGCTGCAAACCAGCAGTCACGTGAATGATTTCTTTTGAGTGATATCGCAACCTGAGGGCTGCGTGCTTGGTTCAACACCAAGCGCTATGCTGATCGAATGCTGGTCGGAGCGCCGCTCAACATCGGAGATGCACTGATCTATGATTCCAGGCCCGGCCGGGAAAGGGCGGAGCACAACATGTTCCAAGGTCTGGCGAGTGGAGAGGGAGTGGAGTAAAGCTTGCACACTGCACTTGGAAGGACAGTGCATTGGGGAATGGCGAACTGCGAAAGCTATCCCCGCTATGTCCTGTACTTGAACTTCAAGAGGCTGCGTGCACGTGGTTTCAACATAACCCGCACACGCGTGTGCATTTCACAGACTGCGGCGCGGGGCGCTTACGCAATGGTCGTCAGACAACGTGTCTGGCCTGTCTAGCTAGCCTCGATGCAGGGGCGCCTTTCGCGGCTGCTCTCCAGATGCGATTGCAAAACGCTCGGCTTCCTGGCACTATTAGCATGCTGGCGTGCGACTCTTCCGCGCAGTCTCTACAAATCCCCCACCGCGTGGTCCAAGGGCAGGCAATAACATAATTCATGTCAATGTTGTTGTTTACACTCGCAATGCAGTCGGCTTCAAGCCGAAGCCCCGCAAGTTGCGAAAACTTGTTAACGTCGACGGTTGACATACCTTCCTTGGAATGTATGGCTTGGTTTGGCATCCCAGGCTTCTGTCCGCTGCCTGCAGGAACGAGGCCGCTTTCAAGACAGGTTGCCACAGCCGCACATAGTAAGACTAAACAACTTGATTACAAAAGCGATTTGTCGATAGAGCCCACCTGCCAGACGGGCTGTCGTCTCGACTGCAGCACAGGTTCAAGCGAGAACTGCACTACATGGCATAGTCGCCTTGCAGTTCCTGATCTGAGACTTCGCGAGTCAAGGAGGTTTGCTCAGAAAAGTGCAAGCGTTGGGCATCGGAGCCGAATCTTCAGTAAAGATGTCGACTCGCATCGTATGCACTTCTCACAGACCCAGTCGCGGCACATGTATTGGTTGAGGCTCTGTCGTGCCGTTGGGCCCCATACCTCCAGTCAGATGCCTGGCCGAGCATGATAAACTGCGTATGTTCTAGCCGCCGTAGCTCATCCCCACTTCAAGGACTCAGTGCTCGGGCGTGCTCTTGCTCAGGGCAGCAGTACGAGGCACTGCATGCGAGCCGCATGCACGGGTTCAAATATTGAGCTGGCGCTGAGGCGTGCGGGAAGCATGCCGCAGCGCACCCGTAGCAGCCGGTCCGTGAATGCAATGAATCAGTGCAGCGGCTTAGCAAGCCTCGGGAAGCGCACGCATTGAGTCTAAGATGTCATATGCATGCAACGATTGAATTCGAGGCCAGTGACCTTTCACAAGAAGGCCGTTGGGATTCATTGCGATCTTGACGGTGGCACAGCAGAGAAGAGCAGGGTCCCGGGAGGCAGGCGCGCAGGCTCAAGAGCATGCAAGCACATGAACACGACTTCGTCCTTCGTTCCAATGCAAATTACTTTCCACATGGCTATGATAGCAGGAGAGAGGCTGAGAGAGAGAGAGATAGAGAGATAGAGAGACAGACAGACAGAGAGAGAGCGGGAAGGGGTAAAGCCCCTACACCACAGCCCTGGCGAAAGAAAGAGGGATGATGAGTTGGCCGGATCGGATGGGCTCAGGGACAGAAAGTGCACTCAGAGGGCTCTGCTCCTACTTGTAGCATGTCTGTTCCTTCCGTTGCTGCGCTGCCATGGTCCATCTGGTCCCATCCTCAACGGTCGCAGATTGCTAGCAGCCTGCACCTGGAAGATCCTGGAAGCAGCCTTTTCTGTCCTCCAGTCGTGTGAACGCCCACGACATCCTCACCAGCCATGAAATGCAATCGCAGCCTCTTGCGCAGAGCTTAGAAGTGCTTCCAGGCTTTTTCTCGTGCTCATATCCGAATCTTGAGGCCCTTGAAGATTTGATGAAGGTTCTAAAGAAACAAGCGCCTTCAAAGCCGGCAGAACCAGCAACGCCTGGACCGATGTCGAAGAATTTGTGACCATGTTCCCCGGAGCCATGCGACAGTACCAAACAATGACGATGCCCCCCGTGAGCATTTGTCTGTCGCGGTCAAGGCGTCGCTCCTTCACGTCCAGAGGTTTGCGGCCCGTGTGGCCTCGACATGTTTCGTAGGACGTGCTAAATGCCACAGGCACGAATCGCAGAGTTCTGCTCCTCGGAGCCACGCTTCTCAACCGGAGTTGTCGAGAAGCTCGGCAGGTGCAACTACGGCACGCAGTGCTACCGAAGCCATTCGGCCTGTTGAGTCTCACAGGGATGATGTGCTCTTCGACTTCAGTTGATGTCGGTTGCCGTACCGCTTCGCGCCAAGCTGAGCTGTCGTTTTGCTGCACTGGGAACGGATCCAGGAAATCCGGAGCACTTGAAAGAGCATGCTCATCCTTGGGACGATGCCTGTGCCTCAGACATTTCCCAGGTTCCGGCGTGTTTCGTTTGGGATTGGAACAGAAGCCCTGTCCGCTCCCGCCGTTGATAGTGCTGATAGTTTTCCAAGTTCCAGGACTATCTCTTTTGCTGTGAGCACATCGGCAAGAAGCCGGAGTCCGGCTCTGAATGATGGTCTCTTCATAAATGTATGTTTCCTCTTCCAAGCCGAATGCAGAGGTTCTGCAGCATTCGGAAGCTCTTTGCCCGAGTCCTGCAGCAACCTCACTTGGGTCCGAGAACAAGCGTGTCGAAACAACCAGGAATGGGCAGACAATGGCACTGGCCGCGCGACACGCCGCTTGGCAGGGCAGCGACCCATTGCATCCGGGTGCCGAGTGTTGACATATCCGAGTCACTTGAGGCGAAAGGCTGGAAAGCCACGCCCCGTGCTCAAGAATCCGGGATTGCGGCTCATGTTCGAGCGCGATTCTTGTGTTTGCTCGTTCTTGCTGAGGCTTGGCCAGAAATTCAGAGACTTGCTCCGGATGCATGGGGCACAGTGCAGTGACTGCTGGGTCCGTAGCTGGGGATTCTTTGCATTTTGAGGTCGGACCGTTGACCGACGAGCTTTGGAGTTCCTTGGACGATGACGGAAACGGTCCTGCCCACAGAAGCAGGAAAATCGCAGCACGACGGGGCGTAAAGTGGTGTGACAAAGTTAGGATGGGCTTTTTCTGACAGCCCACAGAAGCTTTGGGAAGCCTTCAGGTTATCTCAATTTCGGGGAATTCGCGGAGTTCACTACAAAGATGCGGGTGGGTCCGGCCCTCCGTGCTGACGCTGACAGCTAGTGCAGCTAGTGCCTTCAGCTCAACAATTCTGAGATCTTCCGCTGGGCTTGGATGACTTGCTCGGCACCATCAACGGGACATCCGATCTGAAGTGTGGAGTTCCAGCCTTTGCAGACATGTCCTGGTCTGAGCAAATCGCTGAACTCTCCAGGTCTTTGAGTGCCCGTGCACCAAATTTGTTATGCAGCGGCGTCGCTGCAAGTATGGAACCGCTCTCAGACCCCTTCTGCTCCCACATCAAGCCTGCCTGACACCTGTATACACCTGTACAGTTTGGAGCAGAGTTTCGGTGGCCGACAAAGAAGGGGTCAGTCGAGTGTGAGTTTCGTCCCAGGAGCTACATGCTACCAGAAGAACGAGGAGCATCGTTCCAGTAATGCTGGCACGCATTCACAGCCAGTGGAAGCATGCTGAGGCCGTTGCAGTTCGCGGTGTTGGCCAGGCTTCTCACACCCTGATCAAGACGACTGGGAAACAGCAGTTGGTCCGGGCGGGAAGGAGCCTGGCCCCCGGATGCCAAGAGACGGGCCGTCGATTTGTATGAACAATGTTGACCAATTTCACCGGGAGCATCTAGCGTGATTTTAGCTCGTGGCTGTCTGGGCCGGCACTGGCCACTGATGTAGATGGCACCCCGCCTTGGCGCTTTGTGAAAGAGTCCCAGGATGTGCCGTTGCGGACACAAGAAAAAGCTGCACGCCTTGGCCTCAACAACCGAAGCTGCAACTCCATACGCATCCGTGTTACGGTTCCAGCCTGATCAATGAGGCATCTGCTGCATGTGGAGTTGCTGCGGTCATGCTGGCTCACTTGCAAAACGTATACCGCATGAACACAGCAGTACACCTTGCGGAGCTACTGCTCAAACAGGGGTGATCATGGAGCCATCGTGCCGATGCGAGACAAATTGCGGCTTGCTGAGTCTGTCCAAGATAGCTTTTTGGCATATCGTGGAACTATTTCTGCGTGGCGCCATCTGTTCTCGCTTGAGATTGCTATGGGGGAATCCAATTGCAACTTCTGCACCACGCGCATTACGTCACCTGAGCTGTGCAGTGGTGACTCTATTTCTTTGTGCTCGATGTTTCGGCCTGCCGAACTGCACACGATTAGTGGGACTGGACGGCATGTCTCCCAGTCTCCGCAATTGGATCTCCCACCTGTCGAGGGGGCTGCGGCTGGTAGTTTTCCGAGTATGCACCCACGGTGAATGTTACGAAGATTCCCTGGCAGGTCTCTTATCCTGAGTATTGGAGTCGTGCTCCCAGCATCCAGCATCCCAATCTGAAGCACTGAGATCATTGCTGCGGCACAAATCGGTAGTACAAGATTTGTTTCCAGTGGTGCCAAGATGTGCCAAGGTTCCAGTTCTCTTGCTGCGAGCTCTTCGGCTCCTGATAGCGGCTGCTCGGATCGGAGTTGCGACCTGAATGCTTTCAGCTGCACGGTCGAATGAGGTCTCATGCCGCAGGACGAGCGGATCACTCAGAACGCGGCAAACAATGCAGCAGGTGCCAATCCTTGTAGCTGCGAGAACATGTGAGACTTGACACCGAGGTTTTGTGTGCTTCCTGAAGTGTCAGTCGACATGACCCTGCGGTCGGGACCCATAGTTGCAACCTACGCGATCAGACAGTCTTCTTGGGCTCCGAGGCTGAAGCAACTCGTGGATGCCACATACTCGGCGCCGGGCCTAGCGGCTAGCGGCTCGCCTTTCGCTGCGTCACGCACCGCTTTGCCAACCAGGACGTCACCACGCGTGACCGCCAGCGCCATTCTGGGAGTTGGATGGTGTTGGATGCTTGGATTGGTCGGCAACGGTTCAACCCCTCGCCGAGAAAGTGTGCATGACAAGGCCCCGTGGCTTCGAGGTTGTGTCTGCCACGAGCTGACAGAGGTTTAGACATGAGCAGGCAAGCCTTTGCCGCCAGAACATCTTTTCGTAAGGCCCTACGCAACGAGAACAGCAAGCTTTGGCGCAAGCTCGCTCCTCAGAGCAGCTGGTACACTGCCATGAGACAGCCTTTGAGGGTGCCTGTGCTAAGCCGGTGTGATCGGAGGTATTGCGTCAAGAAAGCGGAGCTCCAACAGGCACCTTGGCATGCACGGCGGCTGCGAATGCAAGCGGGGAAGTGCCAAAGCCCACAGTGTGACATGCAGAGGGCATCCGACTGTACACAGTTTTTTCATTCTCTGCGGTTGAGTCGGTAAACGACGCTCGCCTAGCAAGGTGAATTCAAACTGCATTTAATTGAAAGTGGGGTGGCGCAGAAATCTATTGACATAGTATGCGCTCACCGGACAGGGGTGGGATGTAACCAGCAAACGGAAAAGCTGTCCCAACCCCACAACAAAATCAAACATGGCGCATGGAAGAATGCCTGAGAATGCACGGCAAACAAAGGATGCTTTGTATTCCGTAAACGGCGATCAAAGCATCAGACAACGTACGATCCACATATCGGACCCAAGACGTGCAGGATCTTCCTCATGGGTATCAGCTGAGGCCATTCCTACACGGTTACAATACCCAGGATGTCTAACACCTTCATCGAGGTGATATCGGGACATCAAACTCAACCATAGCATGA